ACCATGCACATTTTAATCAGAATAATAATTCCCTCTATTGCTATCTTTCCCCATTCCCTCATTGTTCAACAGCTTTCATCTTCATACATAGACACAATGTAGGTCGTGTGTGTGTGTGTGTGTGTGTGTGTGTGTGTGTGTGTGTGTGTGTGTGCCAGTCCTGGGCTTGAATTCAGAGTTTGGGCACTGTTCCTAAAACTAGCACTATATCACTTGAGCCACAGCTCCACTTCTGGCTTTTTGCTGATTAACTGGAGACAAGAATCTCATGGACTTTCTTGCCCTGACTAACATCATGCTACAATTCTCAGATCTCAGCTCCTGAGTATCTAGGATTACAGACATGAGCCACTGGCACTGGGCCACAATGTGTTTTGAGGTTTTCATTTTTTTGGTCTTGTCCCTGGATGCAGGTGAAGGTTTGTGAAGTTCCCCTTTAAAAGTAGGGACTCTCCACTTGAGGTCCTTGACTTTGATCGCAAAATAAAAATTTCTAGACAAGTCATGATGGTAAAAAACAAAAAATAAAAAAAACTTGACAGAGCTTTATTTAATAAGTAAGCAAGCAAGCAAATAAGCAGACCAAAAAGCAAAACCCAGATACACAGACAAGCAGAAAGTCAGGAGCATACTATAATAGAGTGTGAGCTCTCAAAAGGAAGGAGAGGGAGACACACACAGCTCCTTGGCTGTTAGGGGTATTTATATGGTAAAGGCAAAGATAGCTGTTTTATCTTTGCTCTAATCACTTCTGGTGTCACTTCCTGAGTTTCTGGATTTGGGGCATCTTTCCAAATAAAAATACATCTTACAATAAAAAAGATGTTTATCCTCAAGATAAGAAAGGTGTCCTGTTGTCTACAATTTGGGTAAGAGGTTGCTTACTTTTGGGGGAAGCATTTCTCTCAGGAAGGCATGCATCCTACCAAAGAAATGTTAATTCTTTGGGTGAGAAATGCATCTCACAGGAAGGAATGCATCCTGTCTTTTCAGAACATAGATGGTGCTTCTGTGTTTCTAAACACCATATTTTTGAATTGCCTTCACCAGGCCTCATCTTCCTCAATTCATCCTGCCTCATTTTCCTCTAAATGCCTTTGGTCCTTTAATCTTTTTTCTTTTTGGTTGGTCCTGGGGCTTGAACTCTTGGCTTGGGCACTGTCCCTGACCTCTTCAGCTCAAAGTGAGTGCTCAGGAGGCTGAGATCTGAGGATCACCGTCCAAAGCCAGCCCAGGCAGGAAAGTCCGTGAGACTGTCGTCTCCAATTAACCACTAGAAAACCAGAGATGGTGCTGTGGCTCAGGTAGTAGAGTGCTTGCCTTGAACTAAAGAGCTCAGGGACAGCGCCCAGGCCCACAGTTCAAGCCCCATGACTGAAAAAAGTACAATCTACGAATCTCGCTTTATCTTTAAGCAAATCAGCAATACCAATTTGATTTCAATTAACTTGAAGATCATCATGTCAGGAAAAGTAAGTCAGACTTGAACAAAGATCACATATTTTCTTTTGTATATTGAATCTAGACCTTAAAAATGTGTGGGGGAATGACATGAATATAAAAGAGGGACTATTTGGCTCCAGAAACTGGTGGGACACAGGAAGGCAAAAAGAAAGTAGGATATGAATTTGCATGGAATATCACAATGAGCCCCTCTATATACACTAATAAAATATCTACACTGATCTTTTATGGACATAATTAAGTAGTCCCTTTAAAAAACAAAATCCTCAGAAACAGGATTTTATTGTTATTTTTTCTGTCACTTCATAAACTGCCTTGTTATACCATTCTCATTGATAGGATTCCTTAAATTTGTTATTTAGCCATTTTACACTGTCAACTTTTTTCAGAATAAGTAACTATCAATATGAAAGCAGTTCCAGAGAAGCTTCTTTTTTACCTTTCTTTTTAAATTATCTTTAAGTAGTACAGTTTCAATTCCGCATATTGATTTATGAGTACAGTGAGTACAATGTTACCGCTTCCATCATTCTCCAGGCAATGTTCTTGACTCCCTCCATTTTGTTCTCTCTGGCTCAATTCCTGCCTCTTTAACCTTTTCTTCCTGAGTCTCTGTTGCTTATGTCAAAGGATGGAATCAATAGCAAACCCAGAAGGACAGATCATACCCCAAATGTGGGCAATTACTTATGCAAGTGAAGCTGTGCCTATAAGAAAAAATAATTATCTCATGGGGACCAGATTGCTCCCTTCAGATGATGACAGCACTGAGGATGTCTCCAGAAGCCCTGGAGAGCCAGAACTGAGATAATGATCAGTCAGCCTATTGTCCTGGTCAAGGCTCAAGCTCTGTCAGCTATGCATGCCCCAACCCCTCCTTCATCTCCCCTTTCTCTATAACTTCAATAGTTCCTGTCAGATCCTGAAAGATGGACTTGGGGTTGTAGGCATTCTCCCTACCTGAAGTCCCCAGCCACTCCCACTACTTCCCCAGGGGCAGCTGTAGCCCTCCAGTTCCACCCAGACTTGAGCTCCTCCCTGCCCTAGAGTTCCTGCCAGGATAGCTGGCCACTCCCACTCTCTGCCCAGATCTACCTACACACGCAGAGTACCTTCTCTACCTCTAGCCACAGGGCTACCACCTGCCATACTGCCCCCTCTCCCGGGGGAGATATGGCCCTTCTAATAAACCTTATAAACCTTCTTCTGTGCCTGCCGGCCTCCGTGTGGTCCCCTGAGATGGCAGGGATAGATTTTTTTCAGGCGTCATTGAATCCCTTTACCTCTTCTTCCCAATGTGACCATGCCGAATAAATAAATCTCCTTTCTCTGTCCCTTTCTACCTCATGTCTCTTTCATTGGTGGATTGAGATGGGTAGCTTACCCCAGTCGGTTGCCCTAAAACTTATAACTAACAGACTTCTACCTCCAATTTAAATCCCTTTGACCTCCGTCACAACTCAAGTTAAATTGTATGCTCAGTGCTATGTGGCTGGCTGTTTCCTGCTGACCCTGGTAGGACCAAGAGCTAGCTGCTAGCATCTTAGCAGGGCCAGATGGGAGGGCAAGTTATTCTTAGCTGAAGTCTAGAAATCATCTCCTGAATTTTCAGGACTGGAATGAGGCTGTTCTTATACTGGAAAGGATTTCCAGCTTACTGAACTACGAATGGGAGATTAGTTTTATGATAATTATAACCCAACCAGAGATTCAAAACCATGAGAAGGGAAGTGTTATTTTAGGTTAAGGTGACACACAATGAACACTGAACATGACCATCTAAGTAATTAGCAAAGTCACAGTGATGGCCCCTTCCCTCTTTCAAGTTTCCCCTTGCCCATGTTCCAGAGCTACCCCCACCCCTCCTGCCTCAAACAGTCACCAGTAGCAGATGCCCTTATGTGAAAGGCTGCTGTGAATGGGGAGGCCACTCCTTGGAGAAAGTTTAACCAAATGTAATTTGATCAAATCAGTTCTGGACGTGCAATTGATGGAAAGGCTGTGAAAACAACTTTCCCTAATTTGAAAGGAGTCCCAGACAGGGCCTACAGCTCCAGTATGGTGAAAAACGAGTCCAAAAAGAAAACCTTACATGTCCAGATCTTACATGGGTAAGTAAAATGATGGGAAAGAAGAAAAAAAAAAACACCAAAACCAAACCCATAACAAAATAACAACAAAAATCCAAAACTAGCTGTGCACCAGTGGCTATTGTAGTTACTCAGAAGGTTGAGATATAAAAAAAATCCCAGTTTGAAGCCAGCCTGGGAAGGAAAGTCTGGGACTCCAATTAATCACCAAAAAGCCAGAAGTAGAGTTGTGGCTCAAGAGGTAGAGAGCCAGCTTTGAATGAAAAAGCTAAGAGACAGCACCCATGTCTTGAGTTCAAGACACAATACTGGCATGCATGTGCGCATGTGCGCGTGTGCACATGCACACACACACATCCAAAAACAAAGAAAATTACATTTCATCTTTTTGTATTCTATGTTATATTCTAAAAAGAAAAGATAACAAATTAGAACAACACAATGAGACTAGCTTTTATAAAACATGTTTTACTTAAATATGAGCCTCTTTGGGGCTCTCAGTATGGGTGTGTGTGTGTGTGTGTGTGTGTGTATATATATATATATATATCTCACATAGGATTGTCTAAATTACAATACACAACAAGACTGACGACTGACATAAAATTATTGCTGGAGAGAACGTGGCAACTGTTTTACAAGAAATAAATATTACTTTATTACTTAAGTCATAACAGCTCTCGCTGTGGTTGAATCCTAACCAATGAGAGTGCCTTAGGATGAGTTGAGCATTCTAAGTTAGGATATATAAGAAAGACTTGGAGAAAGACTCCTCCTCCTTCTGCAGGAAGATGGTTGTAGGGTGAAGGGAGATGTGGGAGGGGAGACACAGAAGGGCTGGGTAGCTGGGATCTTGTCATGGTGAGAAACTGTCATAGAAAGGACATCTTAGCACTGGAGGCATGGCTCAGCTATAGAGCACCTGCCTAGTAATCTTGAGGCCCTCAGTTCAAACCCTAATACTAAAAAAAAAAAAATAGACATCTGAGTCAAAACTAGAGTCATCTGTGCTGTTGTGATGTTTATCAGATGTCATTTCCACTTCCTAAGCCATGGACAGAGAGACCCTTTTATGAACAAAGGGACCATGAATATATTTGTTCTCAATGGATACACAGAAATCTCAGAGAGGGTCATGGGCTATTATAAAAATGAGGAAATGAGGTCTGAGCAATCTTATATTAGCTTAAAGTACATCCCAGCAGATGCTGGGCTTATCCAGTGTCTAACATAATGAGCTATATATACATATAAACATATTGAAGTTTACATATGTTAAATAAACAGTACCATCTCAATTTTAAATACAAAACTTAAGTATACTTTCTACAGTGTTTTCCTCCGTTATGAAAGTCTCTGTGGTATGGAGTTTGACAATGTCCATGCTGTCCAGAGAGCTCCAGTTGCAAGAATGTGTCAGTGGGAGACTCAGTGAATGATATGGTCTCAGTAATACATGTTCTTATCCCACCAACCTGTAGGGATAGGAAAAAGTAAATCAGAAATGGAGAGTCTTGGGAAGAGGTACACAGAATCTCAACAATCATGCTGCTGATCTGGACGTACTAGGGTCTTGCCTTAGCATATATGGGGCTCTGGGTTTGATTTCCAGCCTAGTATTTAAAAGACAACATTATTACTACTCACTTCCAGGATAGAGCCTGATGAAGAGCTTTCGTATCTCATCATAAACCCAAATCAAGATGGCGTGTGGTACAGCCACAAACCAATATTGAGGCCTAGAAACAGAAGAGAGGAAGGTAAGCCCTGGCTTGTGCAAAGAGTTCAGACCCTAGCCCACCAGCAGGAGATTTCATCTTAACCTTCACACAACATGGACCTGCAAAGCTTCTTATTTAACTTGCATTGTGATTGCTAGGAGCAATATCTGCCTTTGATACAACCTGTTGGCTGAGGATGATGGTGTGGTAAGGCTTGGAAAAAACAACAGTTTTTCTTTTTGGGAATTTGAGGTCCAAAGCCAGGTTCATGCAGCAGAGTCCCTTTGGTCTATTTGGAAAGACTTGATGTGGGGAGCCTGCGGGAAGCCTAGTGTTTATTTTGGCTGCTATAGGTCAGAATTGAGGCTAGCTCTTTCCTTGGTGCTGAAAGCAAACTCACCTGAGCATGGTAAAACTCAGGGCTGTAACACTTCCAAGGCCATAGGAGAGGATCAAGGCGATGATAATCTGAGAGGCAATTCCTACCCAGATGACTTTATTTCTGCAACATATACAAAAGAAAACAGATGATCAAATCTTTCTGCTCTGCGATTATGGACTCAGCAGACCATGCTACCGGTGGGATCAACATCTTATGGGTGACAAGTGTAGCCACATGTAGGTGGATTGGCAGAGCCTGGCATCTGACAGGGATGGAAGGATGCTGATGTCAGCATGGGAGGTACCTGAAGAGCCCCTGTTGGAAAATGGAATTCCTCCTGGTTTTTCTGATGATCAGATCTGCTATTTGCTGGATCATAATGCCAACAAAGAAGGCTGTGTAGCCTGTCCATTCTAGATATTTCCTCTGGTGCCTTGTCTGTTAAAGGACAGAGAAATGAGAGATGAGGCTGATTCCTAGAAAAGACTGAATATATGTCCCCAAAGAATATCCTACCACCCACCCTCAGCCCTGTTAACTGAGAAGCCACCCAAACCTGTCTCATCAAGGCCATCCAGTGAATGTCAGTCCACATGGGACACTGAGAGGAAAGAAGGAGCAGGTGTTATTGGTGGCAGAGTTTCTAACTCACCCATTCCTGCCCATAGCTGTCTTCCAAATCATTCACATCATCCATTTCCCATTGTACCCGAAGGTTAATGAGAGTGGTGGGCCAAAATCCCTGTTGTGCATAGACTGTGAAATATACCAGGAAAGCTCCCAAGGCTTGCATGAGACCTAGAAGAGTAAAAGGTATGGAGTTAGGATATGTGCTAGCCTCAAAGAACTGCCTGGCCTTTTTGCCTTCTTTCACCCCCAAAGGAAAAGCACACTTGCTAATTGTATCTGGGATTTGAGTGGATTCTCTGGAGATGGCCCTTGTGTGACAGGGAGGAACCCCTTCCTCATACCAATGTGCAGGTAAGAGTAGATGGCAAGGTTCTTGTTCACCAATCTATCCTTCTTCTTGTGGCGAGGCTTCCTGTTCATAATGTCGCTTTCAGCTTTCTCATAGGCCAAGGCAATGGAGGGAATCTAGAGGGGAGAGGACCCAGGAAGCATAACTTTGTCTATTCAGAGGAAGGGTTAACAGCTATGGCCTAGTGAGGGTGGGCCTGGTGTGTATGTGGGGAGAGTTGGGGGGTGGAACTGGTCCATGTAGAGTGCAAACAACACATGGTGGGTGCATTGTCTATGTGGAATTTAAGAGCAGCCAGTTTTAAAACTCAATCTGTGTGCCTAGTATGGTGGCAGACAGCTGTATCCCTGGGATGCTGCCCTCTGGGAATCTCAATTCCCCTCAAAAGAAAAGACATCTGTTGTCTCCTCAAAATGTGAGGGTCATCCCTGTGTTGACACAGATCACACAGGTGAGGAAAGAGCAATTTGCAGGACCATTTTTTGTGATATAAATTTATCTTGTTCCTTATAAAGCCAAAGACAGATGGGGAAACTTTTGTGGAGCTTTGTTTAAGGGTATACATACTTAAGCCTATAACTCACAGAGAAGTCCAGAGACTCATCCCCAGTTTATCAACATAATGCCATAAGAGAAGCTATGGTTTAAGTAATAGAGCACTAGCTGTGACCAAGAAAGCTAAGAGAGAGAGAGAGTTAGGCCCTAAGTTCAAGCCCCAGTCCAGGCGCACATGTGCGCACACACACACACACACACACACACACACACACAATTATATATTATTATATAATTATATAGGAGGGTCTAGTTTAGGCAAGCTATTATTGCAGGACAAGGCTTTATATTTATATATCATAATAACTACTACTTTACACTGTGTTTAGAGGAGGTACTTCTGGACCACAAGAGGTGGCTATGGAGTTATTACTTTAACCACTACCCCATGTCCCCTTCCCCCCACCTCCTAAGGCATAGGGACAATTTGGATCATTACTTCATCTTCCCCAACAATAGGGAGGCATATTGTTTTGGAGGATCAAGACTTTTTTTGCATGTGCTGGTACTGAGACTTAACTCAGAGCCTGGTGCTGTCTTTTAGCTTTCTTGCTCAAGGCTAGTGCTCTACCATTTAAGCCACAATTCCACTTCTGGCATATTGCTAGTTAGTCTCACAGACTTTCCTACCCAGGCAGGCTTTGAACTGTGATCCTCAGATCTCAGCCTTCTAAGTAGCTAGGATTACAGATAAGAGTCACTGGCACCCAGCAAGACTCTTTTTTGGGGGGCAGGGAAAGGTGGGGGGGCATGGAGAGTCTAATCCAAATGTTCTCTTACAGAGTTACATCCCCAGCCTCAAGACTCAGGTGTTGAACAATTCTCCATGGAGTGAAGTGGCTTTAATTTGCAAACATTTGACAGATGACTAAATGCCTTGCTTTGAAGTGTGGTCTGTGGACCAGCAGAATAGTGTCAATTTGGCAGCCTGTAGAAACACACAACTGTAAGCCCCATTGTAGGGAAGTTTGAGAAGCATTGACTCTGTCCATCTCAGGGTCCTGGAAGGTAACAACTATGATCGTTTTATGCCCAGGGATGTTCCTTCAGGGTCACTTACAATGTCTGTGCCCAGGTCGATGAACAGGATGGTAATGGTGCCAATGGGCAGAGGGAGCCCGACAATAATGTAGATCAAGAAGGGACAGAGCTCAGCAATGTTCTTGGTCAGGGTGTATGCAATGGTCTTCTTTAGGTTGTCAAAGATCAGGCGACCTAGGCAAGATGTGTCTCCCTATAAAACTTGCTTCTAGTCTCGCAGGCAACCCAATTGCCAAGAAGACATGAGACCTCATTTACCTTCTTCCACCCCTGTGACTATCGAGGCAAAATTGTCATCCAACAAGACCATGTCAGCTGCATTTTTAGCAGCATCAGAACCTGCTATTCCCATGGCAATCCCAATGTCTGCCTTCTTCAGAGCAGGAGAGTCGTTCACTCCATCCCCTGTAACAGCTACAACAGCATCCTGTGGGTACCCCGTGAAGAAAAACAAGAGCAGGTTTAGTAGGCCACAGGTTGGACAAGAACACAGTTCCCCTTTCATCTCAAGGCTTCCATGACTATCAGAGCCAAAATGAAGGGCTCATTTTGGGAAAAGAGAAGGATGAAAATCTCAGAAACAAAACAAGCATTTGGAATGAGAGGCATTTACATGAAAAAAAAAGTTTATGCCAATTAAACAGAGGTTTCTTATGCAGTGGGCCCTTCATATTGGTGGGTTCCTTGTCTTCAGATTCAATCAACTAAGGATGGAAAATATTGGGAAAATGGCTGGGCACTGGTAGCTTATCCTAGCCACTCAGGAGGCTGAGATCTTAGGATTAAGGTTTGAAGCCAGCCCAAGTAGGCAAATCCATCAGACATTTATCTCTCATTAACCACCAAAAAGTGATAGAGCACCACCAGCTTGAAGTAAAAAAGAGACAGCTAAGAGACAGTGCCAGTGTCCTGAGTTTAAGCCCCAGCACTGGCACAAAAGATATTAGAATAAGAAAACTGCATCTGTACTAAGTATGTACATACATTTTCTTTATTATCCAAACAAAATGTTATAACAGCTACTTACATAGCCGTTACGTAATACCAAGTCTTATAAGTCACCTAGAGACGATTTAAGGTATACTGGATAGTCATAGATCCTATGCAAACATCACCGCATTTTACTTTAGCCAGAACCTGAGCTTGGACTAGGATCCTTGACCTCTCACTTGGCCTTTTCTCTCAAGGCTGGTGCTCTACTATTTGAATCACACCTCCAATTCTAGCTTTTCCTGGGTAAGCAGAGATGAGTCTTGTGGACTTTTCTGCCTGGACTGGCTTTGAACTCTAATCCTCAGATTTTAACCTCCTGAGAGATAAGATTAAAGGCATGAGCCACCAGTGCCTGACTATTATTACTATTATTAATGTTGATGTGTGTGTATTAGAATGAGGGCTTGAAATCAGGGCTTCATGCTCTTAATACCCTTTTTATTATTTTATATTTGGGACTTAAGCATCAGTGGATTTTGGAGGCTCCTGGAACCCTGTGAACAACAAGGGAAGACTGCATTTTATGTCTTTAAATGTTTTATTTTATATCTTTATATTTTTTAAATCCTTCTGTATTTACACTACCACAGAGACCAGTGCAGGGCTGCCAGAAGCCCCAGGTTTCCATGATAAAGTGCAGAAAGCTAAGGAGTGTGCAGCAATGGGAGCTTCTTAAAGGAAGACAGAGTGTTAGCCCACCCAAACTCTGCTCCACATTTCCCAATGGCCCAGCCTGCCATCCAGTTCCTGCCATCTCCGCACCTGCCTCTGACAGCCCTCCACAATGATCAGCTTCTGCTGGGGGGATGTCCGGGCAAAAACAATTTCTGCATAGGTGGCTAAGAGTTCATCCAGCTGTTCCGGAGTCATGTCCTTCAGCTCCATGCCAGTCACCACAGCTGCTTTAGCATCCCTGCAAGGGCAAGAACCAGCCAGGCTGTCTTTTTATCTTACAGCCAAATGGGGTGACCATTGGGGGAAAGATAAAGATGGCCAATTCAGAAGCAAGAACACAAGGAGCTTTGAACAACATGCGTTGGAAGAGGGAAGTAGAGCCTTGAAACAGAACAACATAGATAATGTATTCAAAGGAAAAGAAAAAAACGTTTATGACAAGAAACTGGGTGAAAGACAGGTGTTCGTAACTTGTACCTGTAATCCTAGTTGCTCAGGAAGCTAAGATCTAAAGATCACAGCCAGTTGGGGTAGGAAAGTCTGTGAGTCTTTAACTACCAAAAAGTCAGAAGTGGAGGCATGGCTACAGTGGTAGAGTGCTAGCCTTGGGCAAAAAAAAAGCTAAGGACAGAGCCCAGACCCTGAGTATAAGCCCTAGTACCAACACACACACACACACACACACACACACACACACGCACGCACACATGCACACACACACACACACAAATAAGAAGGCAAACAAGCTCTCAATCTGTTTTAGGGATGTTATTTATACAAAGCAGTGCTTACAGATTTCAGATACTGTTTCTAGGCCCAGAGGCAGTCATTCTGGCAATTTGCTGCCTTGTAATAATTTATCACCTGACTGCTAGGTGTTCCTAAAATGTAGAAGTGCCTGGGAAACTCAAAGGAGTTCACTGACCTTTCCCTTCTCTCTATGTACGTGAGAGCTGAATTCAGCAGGTCACTCCAACTTGAGATTCTGATGTCTTCAATTCACTTAAACTATTCACAATCTACACTGCTCCTCTCCTGTGCCTCTTTCTTTATGCTGATCATATCACAATTGATTTTATCTTCTTCTTGCTAGATAGAAAGCTTCCCAAGGGTAAGTGCAGCACCTGTGCAGTTGTTGATATAGCTACAGGGTCTGGCACAAGAGTCTGGCAAATAGTTGGCACTCCACAGCAATTTTTCAACAAATTTTCAATGATTGTTGAAAAATTAATAGATAATACATGGACAGTTGCATGGATCAAAGGACAGACACCATTAGAATGAGGAAGCCGGGTGCCCGTGGCTCATGTCTGTAATCCTAGCTACTCCAGGAGGCTGAGATCTGAGGATCTTGGTTAAAAGCCAGCCCGGATAGGAAACTCCATGAGACCCTTATCTCCAATAAACCACTCAGAAAACTGGAAGTAGTGCTGTGGCTCAAGTGGTAGAGCTCAAGAGCTGAGGGACGTGCCCAGGCCCAGAGTTCAAGTCCCATGACCACCACCACCAACAACAAAAAAAGTAAGAAAGAGGAGAAGCAAGGAAAAATTGGTTATTTAGGAAAATTCTATTCAATTTTTACTAATTATAAAGAGTATGTTTGGGGCTGGGAAGGTGGCTCAGTTGTAGAGCGCTTGCTTTACATGCATGAGGCCCTGGGTTTGATTCCTCAGCACCACATAAGCAAAAAGAAAAAAGCCGGAAGAGTTGCTGTGGCTCAAGTGGTAGAGTGCTAGCCTTGAGCTGAAGAGCTGAGGGACAGCGCCCCTCATATACATATATATATATACACATACATATATATGTATATATATATATATATGTTATGAAGCCAACTGAACACCCATATAAATACCCATCATGCTCACTAGGGAAGGTGCATGAAACCCAAAGGATTCTTAATATTCCTGGTTATCCAATTGGACCCTGTAGGTAAGAAATTGTGTTTCTACTCTGTTAGTTCTATATTTACCTTTTGTTAACTTGCTCCACAGCAATATTGCGACGTTTTGCAATGTCTTCCACTGTCTCGCTGTTGGCAGAGATGATCCCTACACTCTTGGCAATAGCTTTGGCTGTGATGGGATGATCACCTGTAACCATAATGACCTAAAACATAGACAATAGGGACTAATGGACAATGAGGAACTCGGCTAGCCAAAGTAGGAATTGTGGTCAGTATTCCCTACTCTACAGGATCTGGTAGAATAGTGTTATGGTTGCTATGATTTGCCTTATGGAAAATTCTAGATTGAAGATACAACTGTCTTTGAAGAACACACTGATCCCCTTGGGTCTTTCCTTGCACTTATTTTTGTTGTTTGGTTGGTTTTTTGTTGTTGTTGTTGGCTGTGGGACCAGAACTCTGGGCCCAGGTGCTTGGGCACTGTCCCTCAGCTCTTCAGCTCAAGGCTAGCACTCTACCACTTGAGCTACAGTGCCACTCTGCTTTTTCTGCTTATGTGGTGCTGAGGAATCGAACCCAGGGCCTTGTGCATGCAAGGCAAGCGCTCTACCACTGAGCCACCTTCTCAGCCCACACTTAATGTTATTTTGCATTCCCTTTTTGGACATTTGAGGAAAACTTTTCACTTTGATGACATTTTGTTAGTTAAACAAAAGTCTCTAGGTGTCTGTTTGTAATGTTGCTTTAACAGTCTTGATATTAACATGATTGATGGAATTTGTATTATGGTTTCAATATCTTAAGGACAAATGGATTTTAGAGCCCTAAATACTGACCATTTCCTATGACACATGACTTTAAGGAGGGAGGGGTGTGACATGTACAAGAGGCTCCCTAAGCACGACAGTCATTCTCACCTTGATCCCTGCACTCCGACATTTGGCGACTGCATCTGGCACAGTGGATCGAGGGGGGTCAATCATTGACAAGAGCCCCACAAAACATAGATTGGAAGTGGGAAAGTTCATGGTGTCTACATCAAATGAGTAGGTTTCTGGAAACACATCTTCTGGCAGGTAGAGATGACAGAAACCTGTAAAGAGGCATGGATTTTGGAACTAATGAAATTAGGATAAGAAATGATAAAAGCAAAGGGGAGTTGGAGGTAGAGCACATGTTTAACAAATAACAGGCCCTAGTTTTGATTCCTAGCACCAAACTAAAGAAATAAGTAAGCAAATAAATAATTTAAAAAATAAAAGGAAAGGAAAGGGAGGACAAGTTGATACACTTTTTAAAACTAATTTACTATATATATATATATAGTAAACATATGTGTGTGTGTGTGTGTGTGTGTGTGTGTGTGTGTGTGTGTGTTTATGACAGTACTGGGGCTTGAATTCAGGACCTGGGCACTGTCTATTAGCTTTTTCACTAAAGGCTGGTGCTATATAATTCAAGCCATAGTTCTACTTCTGGCTTTTTGGTGTTCAGTCAGAGTTAAGAGTCTCATTGTCCAAGCCGCTTTGAACACCAACTCTCATATCTCAGCTTCCTGAGTAGCTAGGACTACAAACATGAACTGCCAGCGCCCAGATAGTCATTTTCTATTTTTACCAATTCATTAGAGCCAATAGAATAGAGTACAATAGAATAGAACCAAATTGATTTAATTCTTTCAATTCCACAATGCACTTTTTCTTTTTTTGCTGTCGGTACAGGGCTTGAACTCAGGACCTAGGTTGCTGTCCCTGTGCTTTTTATTGCTCAAGGATAACACCCTACCATTTGAGCCACAGCTCCATATTGTGCTATGCTGTGCTGTGCTGTGCTGTGCCGTGTGCTTGTGTGTGTGTGTGGGGGGGGGGAATTGAAGAGAAAAAGTCCCATGGTCTTTGTCTGGGCTGGCTCTGAGCCACGATCCTCAGATCTCAGTTGCCTGAGCAGCTAGGATTATAGGTGTGAGCCACCAGCACCTTGCTCCACAATGCACTTTTTAAAAGGAAAGATGGATTTCACCCCAAACAGATGTGTATTGTATATTCATTAGGTCCTATGTTATATTCTAGACAAGTGTTACACTAGAACAAATGAGATATCCTTTACTTCTGAGAATGTCTATGTTATTGTGGGAGAAAAACTGAAGAGGTAAATAAAACGTCGTAGAGTAGAGAGACCTTCACTTATGTAGAGTCAAAAGATGATGTGGATGTTTTCTGTGGTAAGAAGGGAAGGAAGGATTATTTCAGGCAGAGAAACTAGCCCATGCTGGTTTGTACAAAATGATATTGTATAAAATAGAGGAGTATCTAGGGAGCTGTGGGGAGTGGTACAAAGCCCAATCCCGAAGAAAGATAAGCACAGCAGAAAAGTCACGAGGAATGTGGTAGAACATCCTTGTCTCTAAGCCATCGACATTTCAATTGGAGATTGTACTTCCATTCCTGTGTCTGGTAGGACCTCCCCATCATGATTTTCTTATCAGCTTTTATATCAAATTAATTCTCAGCATGTTTTGCTGTTTTTCACATTTGAGTAAAGCAGACTGCAAGAGGTCAAACAGGAGGTTTCCCGAGCAACTGGTCAGATGCAGGCCAATCATGTGTTGAAAAAGAGGTTAGCAGGGTCTGTGTATTACTTAAGCTGTGCTTAAGATATTAGCATCTCATTTGTACATTTTATCTGCATTAGAAACTCAGATATCCTATAGCAACAGACATTCCACAGATTCCATGTCTACTGGCAAGCACTTTCATGGTGTTTATTAAGCCTTATTATTAACCATGAACTGTTCTCTTGAATTCATTATTCTGTAATTTTGAACAGGGGCCCTACAGTCAGCAGTGGAACAGATGATCTCCTCAGAGATTATTCCAGTGACAGTATTTCTTTCTTTTCTTTTCTTTTACTTTTTTTCTTTTTTTTTTTTTTTTTTTTTGTCGGTCTTGGGGCCTGAACTCTGGGCCTGGGCACTGTCCCTCAGCTCTTCAGCTCAAGGCTAGCGCCCTACCACTTGAGCGACAGTGCCACTTCTGGCTTTTTCTGCTTATGTGGTGCTGAGGAATTGAACCCAGGGCCTCATGCATGCACGGCAAGCACTCTACCACTGAGCCAACTTCCCAGCCCGTAGTGACAGTATTTCTAACACTGCTTCTGTCTCTAACATGCTCTGTCTCAGTTTCGGGATTACTTTTTCCTACTCTTACAATTGAAGGTATAATTTTTTTAGTGTGTGTTTGTGTATTTGCCAGTATTGGGGCTTGAACTGGGGGCCAAGATACCCTCTTTCAGCTTTTTTGCTCTACACTCGTGCTATACTTGATGTTATTTTTTGGGGGGAGGGGTTCGGTTGTGGGGCCTGAACTCTGGGCCTGGGCACTGTCCCTCAGCTCTTCAGCTCAAGGCTAGGGCTCTACCACTTGAGCCACAGCACCACTTCCAGTTTTTTTCTTTTTGCTTATGTGGTGCTGAGGAATCAAACCCAGGGCCTCAGTCATGCAAGGCAAGCGCTCTACCACTGAGCCACCTTCCCAGCCCCTCGTGCTGTACTTGAAGCATACCTCTACTTCTGTATTTTTTGCTGGTTAGTTGAAGAGAAGAGTCTCATGGACTTTTCTTTGTTTTTTTTGGGGGGTCTGGTCGTGGGGCTTGAACTCTGGGCCTGGGCGCTGTCCCTCAGCTCTTCAGCTCAAGGCTAGCACTCTACCACTTGAGCCACAGCACCACTTCCAGTTTTTTTCTTTTTGCTTATGTGGTGCTGAGGAATCAAACCCAGGGCCTCAGTCATGCAAGGCAAGCGCTCTACCACTGAGCTACCTTCCCAGCCCCTCTCATGGACTTTTCTGTCTGGGTTAGCTTTGAACCGTGCTCATCAGATCTCAGTCTCCTGAGTAGCTGGAATTACAGGCATGAGCCACCAGCACTGAATTTACTGTCATTTTTAAAGTCACTTTTACCCTCTAATTAACTGCTAAGTCTCACCCATTCTGCCTTTATGAAGCTTCTTTCTCCAGACACCACTTTTGCATTGCACCTGGCATCAAATTTCAAACTTGTTTTAGTTGAATAAGGGCAATGACCTGTTGAAACTAGCATCTCTCCCCTCCCTGCCGCCACCAAGCACTCTCCTTAGCAAACACGATGGCTAACCCTGGCCAGTTCATCCCTGTTGTAAAGTCTTCAGTGTTCTCCACTGACTGCAAGCTGAAGCCCAAGTTCCTCAACACAAATTCCAGGCCTCCAAAGCACAACCTCCAATCTACTTCTCTGGCCCTGCTTCCCACCCTAGCGCCAACTCATCTACCCTGTAGCACCATGGACTGCTTGCTTCAACCTGTGTGCATTAGTTCCATTCCTTTGCTTTGCCTTCGTGGCTCCTCTATTTGGACATATTCCTCCACCTCCCTTTAAGGCCAGATTTAAGATGTGACTCTTTCCATAAAGTATGATTTTGGTTGCCGAGAAGCAACTCAGTCCTCCTCAGTGCCAGCATATAACATTCTCTTTGTGTGTGTGCCTGTGCTAGGGCTTGAACTCAGAGCCTGGGCACTGTCCCTTAGCTTTTTTGCTCAAGGCTAGTACTCTACCACTTAAGCCACAGCTCTACTTCGGGCTTTTTTTTGTGGCTAATCCAAGATAAGAGTCTCATGGATTTTGTTACTTGGGCTGGCTTTGAAAGTTGGTCTTCAGATCTCAGCCTCCTGAGTAGCTAGGATTACAGATGTGAACCACTGGCTCCCAGCGTAGCATTATCCTCTTACATGTTACCATCCAGTTATCATATTTTTGTTGTCCTCCTCTTCTTCTTCTTCTTCCTATTTTCTCCCTTCCTGGTCTTCTTCTTCCCCCTCCTCTTCTTGTCCTACTTATCTTCCTGTTCCTCTTTTTCCTCCTCCTCCTCCTTTTTCCCAGTGCTGGGCCTCCAACCCAGAGCCTCCCACACGCTAGGCAAGTGTTGTACCACTAAACTATATCTACAGCTTCTCATATTGTTCTTGATATAGTCTACGTGATGTCACAGCTACTCTGATAGCTCATGAGGCCTACTCTTCCATATCTAGGAGAAGCACAGGCATCCTCCCACTGTACTTACCCAGTACACGCTCGCCCAGGCCACCTAGCTCCATGTAGGCCATGAGGAAGGCGTCGGCAGTGCTCTTGTCCAGTGGCTGCTCCTGGCCATTGATCATGATGGTACTGCACTTCTCCAAGATCCTCTCGGGGGCCCCTTTCATCACCATGAGGAAACGCTTGTCATCGGGGTCTTCTGTCTTGTGGATGGAGAGCTGGGAGGGCACACTGAGCATGTTAGGCATAGCTCTTCCAACTAGTAATAGGACAAGCTGGAGAAATATGTTCTTTGCTTTCAAAGCATAAAGGAGGAGGAGAAGGAACAATGGCATGCCAGTAATGGGGCTTGAGCTCAGGGCCTCACTGCTTTTGCTTGGCAATTTGTCTCAAGGTCGGTGCTCTGCCATTTGAGCTATACCTCAACTTGCAGCTATTTGCTGGTTTACTGGATATGAGTCTCTTGGATTATAATTCTTTGGCTCTCTTGGAACCTTGGTCCTCAGATCTCAGCATCCTGAGAGGCTAGGATTACAACTAGGAGCCACCAGTGCTCAACAGGCATGACCTATCTTTTTGAACTCTGGGCCTGGGCACTGTCTCTGAGCTCTTCAGCTGAAGGCAAGTGCTCTACCACTTGAGCCACAGTGCTACTTCCAGTTTTCTGGTGTTTAATTGGAGATAAGAGTCTCACAGACTTTCCTGTCCCGGCTGGCTTTGAACTGTAATCGATTCTTAGATCTCAGCCTCCCGAGTAGCTAGGATTACAGGCATGAGCCACCCACGCCCTGCATGACCTATTAAAAAAAAAGATTTTAGGGCCAATTAATATGCTGACAGCTAGACCTGGCTAGCCCAGAGAGCCCACTGAGTTGGAATCCACACTAAGTAGAGCTTGTATTAAGAAAAGAAAGAGAGAAAACCCTGGCTACTGTAAGAAGGTCAGATAAACTCTTCTAGGGAGTGTGTAGGGGTACAGTGAGAACTGTGAGTCAGTATGCTTCTGAGTCTCGTCTCTCCCTCTCTGTGATAAGCCTCCATATTTTAAACCTGAGCAACTTTGAGGGAAGCAGGAATTCCTACGCTTCTTTGCCTCAGGATCAATCCAGTGTTACTAAATAGACAGAAAAAAAAGGCAGAGATGTAAGGAAAAGGACAGAACATCTATAGATTTTTAAGAGGACAGCAAAGCAGCATGATGCACAAGTTTAGCATGAACACTCTTGACCCGGCAATTTTACTTCTAGAATAATTCTAAGAAAATAATCCGGTGGGGGGAGGAGGCAAAAAAAAAAAAACTAAGTAAAAAATAAAGTAGTTAGATCTTACAGAACCCTTATTATATACCAACAGTTCTTCTAAGAACGCAAAAGGCTTTCAGGAAGCTTTTGGAAACTGTAGCATTTAAGCCATATCCCCAGTCCTATTCTTTGAAATGCAATACATTCAGCCTTATGTAAAATTTTATATGCTGAGTGCTGGTGGCTCATGCCTGTATGGGTGTCAGTGGCTCATGTCTGTAATTCTAGCTACTCATGAAGCTGAGATGTGAGGATCACGGTTCCAATTCTGCTTGCAAGAAAGTCTGTGACACTTTTTTTTTCTTTTGGTCAGTCATGGGGCTTGAACTCTGGGCCTGGGCGCTATCCCTGCGCTCTTCAGCTCAAGGCAAGCACTCTACCGCTTGAGCCACAGTGCCACTTCCAGTTTTCTAGTGGTTTTATTGGAGTCTCACGGACTTTCCTGCCCGGGTTGGCTTTGATCCATGATGCTCAGATCTCAGCCTCCTGAGTAGCTAGGATTATAGGCGTGAGCCACCGGTGCCCAGCTGTCTGTGACACTTTTATCTTCAACTAACCACCCAAAAGGCCAAAGTAGAACTGTGGCTTAAGAGGTAGAATACCAGCCTCAAGTGGAAAAAGCTAAAGCACAGGTTCCAGGTCCTGAGTTTAAGCTCCATTACTGGTATAAACAACAACAAAAACTTTATAAAGCATTGTCCTAATTTTCCAATTTGCCATATTTAAAATATTTCATGAGTCAATCTGTTTAGAGTGGTAGCTAGTCTATGATCAACAAATGCTGTACAGAAAGCTTCCAGGATCCAGTCTGGATTACATAGTAAGACTATCTAAAAAAAATACAAAAGGAAAAACAACAACAAAAAGATAAATAAGAAAATCTGTTAGAGTTTGTATGTGTGGGAAGTGGAACACAACTTGATTTACCAGCAAAGAATGTTGTCTTCCTCAAGATCAAGTCTTTCTCACATGGTCAGCCTGAACTTGTTTTGCTTCTGGATAGTTGAAAATACACAGTCATTAAAGTCTTACTTGTGAAAACTGGTTGTGCCACTTAGATGCTGTGGGGCTATGGTCTCATGAATGCTTTCTAAGAATCTGTTTCTTCTTTTATAACCTGGGATTCATTAGTCGTACCTCATCAACTTGTGAGGATTGAATGAGATAAGGTATGTATAGTACTTGATTATTTATGATACAGCCAGTCTTCAATATCCTCAGGGGAATGGCTCTAGAAACTCAAGGATATCAAAACTCTCAGATGCTCAAGTTACATTAAATGATCTTTCAAACACATTGAGATGATTTCTACTAGCTAATGTCAGTGCTAAGGAAAATTGTTCTACCTTATTGTAGGGACTGGTGACAAGGAAAAAAGTCTGCACATGTCTAGTACAGATACAATTATTTTGTTTCCAAATATTTTTTGATCCATGATTGGCTGAATCCACAGATGTAGAATTTGAGGGTACAGAGGTCAACTGTATTTTCATTTAATAATCAATGTTGATTTTTCCTACTTCCCCTATCTGTCATTTAACCTTTTTGATGTGAACATGACCCCTCACTTTTGCAAAAGTTATCTAGTGGTGACGGTGCTATGTGTGTGTGTGTGTGTGTGTGTATGTGCACGTATGTAAGAGAGTACTGGGAGTGTGTGCATGTGTGTATGCATGTATGTGCAATATGTAATATAAATTCTTAATATGAGCAGCAGGTTCTGACATACTTTAACTTTATTGTCTTCTCTACCCTACTTTAGGGAGAGCAAGGAAAGAACAGTGGAATCTTGACCTGGATTAATTAGATGCTTACACTTCGTACCCAAGAATTACTTTTGAAGCCAGGTATCATCCAAAATATGGATTAATCATGCCAGATGCTGGTGGTTCATGCCCACAATTCTAGCTACTCAGAAGGCTGAGATTTGATCATTGCAGTTTGAAGCCAGCCCAAGTAAGAAAGTCTGTGAGACTCTTATCTCCAACTAACCATAAAAAAGCCAGAAATAGAAGTGTGGCTCAAGAGACAGAGCACCAGCCTTGAGGAAAATAGCACAGAGACAGTCCTTAGGCCCTGATCTCAAGACCCACTACTGGCATGCACACGCGCACACACACACACACACACACACACACACACACACACACACATAGATTAACTATGGATAAATGCAGTAGAAATATCAATCGAGTGACAACAAGGACAGCCAGTTGTGAGGAAAACTCACCTGAAATTTGTTGGTGGAGTTGAAAGGGATTTCAGCTACTTTGGGATTTCTTTTCCTAATTTCCATCACATTACCCAAAATGACCTCTGAGAATTTCAAAAGTGCAGTTTCTGAGGCATCTCCAACCACAACTTTCTGCAAATCAAAAGTGATAGATATTTGCAACATATAATCTGCTATTTTGTGATTATGATGATTAATTCTGGTCTTAGGGCTTGAACTCAGGGCCTGGGTACTGTCTTTGAGCCTTTTTTGTTCAAAGCTAGCACCCTACCACTTGAGTGCGCCACAGCTCTACTTCTAGCCTAGAGTCTCACTGGACTTCCTTGGCCAGTCTGGCTTTGAACTGTGATCTCAGATCTCAGCCTCCTCAGTAGCTAGGCTTACAGGAGTGACCTATTGGTTTCTGGTTTTGTGATTATTCTTTTTTTTTCTTTCATTTTGGTTGGTTGTAGGGCTTGAACTCTGGGCCTGGGTGCTGTCCCTCAGCTCTTCGGCTAAAGGCAAGCACTCTATCACTTGAGCCACAGCACCACTTCCAGTTTTCTGGTAGTTTATTAGCGAACAGAGTCTCTGGGCAGCTTTGAACTGTAATCCTCAGATCTCAGTCTCCTGAGTAGCTAGGATTATAGGCGTGAGCCACCGGCACCTGGCTGGTTTTGTGATTATTCTTAATGAACGAATATACCATTAGCATATGGACCTGATTAAGCTTATCGCCTCCTTGAAGATCCAAGGCAATCATATAACTGTAGTGACTGAGCCAGGATTTTGTAAGAATGTAAACCAATGGTGCCATCTACTGGCACTAGAGATGTTCAAACATGTAGGAGCTCTGAGAACTGAGTTTCCTGAGCTACATATCAGATGAGTGTGGAGAGAAAGGAGCAGAAGAAACCCTTCCAGGCCAAAATGTCACCAAGGGAGATATGGAAGGATTCACTGTGAGACTGAACACGAAGGAAGTGGTGAGATTTGGAGGACCCTGAAAGGCAGGCTGAGGTCTCGACTCAAGAAATGGGAAACAGAACATCACAGAAGTTTTTGAGATTGTCAGTATTTAGGAAAAAGAGGTGATACATGAAAAAGTGAAAGGAATAAACTAGCATCATGGAGGCCAAGGAAGAGGTTGGTTCAGCTATTATTGAAATGTAAAATTATGGCTGGGTTCTGCTGGCTCATACCAAGTAATCCTATCTGAGGATCACAGTTCAAAACTAGCCTGAGCAGAAAAATCCGAGAGACTTTATCTCTAATTAACCAGTCAAAAGGCTAGAAGTAGAGATGTGGCTCAAGTGGTAGAATGCTGACTTTGAGCAAAAAAGGCAAACACATGCAGGAAGCCCCAAGTTCAAACCACAGTACTGGTGCGCGCACACAAAGACACACAGACACAGACACAGACACACACACATAGACTCACACACACATGAGTAAAATTATGCATATTTTGAAGCAAGAATGGTAGAATTTGGTGGACTTATTAGATAGAAGGAGAAAGTCAAAGATGACTTCCAAAAGCTATAGCCTGAAGGCAAGTAGAATAGTTATGTCATAGAAGAAGAGAAATCTGGGATAAGATATTGAATGATTCCAGGTTGGGCAGAGATGGAACGTGATGGAAGCCTAACCTATTGGAATGCTAACATGGTGGAACTTTCAGGTGAACACTTACAGCTTTGCTGGGGGACAAACATGCGCACGTGCGCACCTGCACACACACTCACACAGACATATAAATATAAGAGGAAGAAATCAGTAAAGAAAACAGCTGGCAAATGGGAAAGCTAAGAGACCATGTTCAGTGACTGACTGAGATGGAAGAGTAAGAGAAGAGACAAGAGGAAGGGGGGAAGGGAGGAAGGGAGGGAGGAGACAGAAAAGCAGGGAGAGGGAGGCTGGAGGGAGAAGCTGACAGGAGGAAGGAGCAGAAGGAGAAATAATAAGAGGAGAAAAGAAGGATGAGAGAGTTTCTATTCTAATATTCCATGATCTCTCAGAATTTCATGTGCTGCTGGGGCTGGGAAGGTGGCTCAGCGGTAGAGCGCTTGCCTTGCATGCCTGAGGCCCTGGGTTTGATTCCTCAGCACCACATAAGCAGAAAAAGCCGGAAGTGGCGCTGTGGCTCAAGTGGTAAAGTGCTAGCCTTGAGCTGAAGAACTGAGGGACAGCGCCCAGGCCCAGAGTTCAGGCCCCATGACTGGACCCAAAACAAAACAAAAACAAGAATTTCATATTCTATTTGAGAAGACTATGTGCTATGATTAAACCTGTTGTGTTATTTCCATCCAATTATATTTTATTCAGTAAAGGCATTTATATAACACAGAAACTTTGTTTATGTCACTTAGCTTGTAAAGGCAAATTAAAGATATGTGCATGTACAGAATGAGATAGAATTTTGAAAAGGATCAATATTCTGAGATCTTCTAAGCATCTTAATGATTTCTTGAGGCCAGCTAGAATGAAGAAAACTTTCTGCATGTCTTCTGCATCTGATTTGCTGTCACCAGTGCAAATTTTACACAGGTAGAGAGATTAAATCAAGCACTCAAAATCAACAGAGATACCTCATATTGGATATGACTTAAGATCAAGTGGCCATGAATGACAGTATTACCTTCATGATGGGGACATTCTCTTGTCCTGGTCTGAACTCAGCTCGGTTACATAATGTTATTATTTTGTATAAGGAGGCCCAGGTTCCAGAGCTTTGGTCAAAGGCTTGGTCTGGAACACAGAGAAGGAACAGTGGCTGACGTGGGTGTTAGGCCTGCCATGTCCAAGACCCACCTTTCCCACAAGGTACTGTCCTAGCTGTTACCTCTACTTAGTCCCCAGCTTTAAGCCCCAAAACTCACTTGACTGGTTTTCACTTGTGTCAGCTGTGAAGATCTGATTGTCAAACCACAGATGAGCCACAGTCATCCTGTTCTGAGTCAGAGTCCCGGTCTTGTCGGAGCAAATGATGGAAGTGGAGCCGAGGGTCTCTACCGCCTCCAAGTTTTTCACCAGACAGTTCTTCTTCGCCATCCGTTTTGCTGTCAGTGACAGGGTCACCTGGCAGGAGACAGGAGGAGACTCTGGGAACAGTTGTTCTGGACAATAGTACAGAAATGGCTACGGTTAGGGCTGGGAATGTGGATTAGTGGTAGAGTGCTTGCCTAACACTCATGAAATCCTGGGTTTGATTTCTCAGTATCACATAAGCAGAAAAAGCTGGAAGTGGTGCTGTTGCTCACGTGGTATAGTGCTAGCCTTGAGCAAAAGAAGCTCAGGGACAGTTGCCAGGCTCTGAGTTCAAGACCTACAACTGGCAAAAAAAAAAAGTAAAAAATTGCTAAGGTTAACTGGGATTGAGTTTTAGGAGAAAGTTGAATAGTTTTAGACTAGAGTTATAGGCTAGAGGTAAAGGAAGGCTGACAGAGTGACTCAGAGTTGTCAAAAGCCCTATAAGCAACAATTTTTTAGAATATTTTCTTGTCTTTTTATTCTTGAAGGAAATGATCTGGAACAGTTTATGGGTGGCAAAGTCAGGCTAAGGTGTAGCCAGTGCTCATGTACAATTAGAAAGGGGGCTTGGAAGACTAGGTGTAGAGCTGTGTCATAGCATTTGCCTAGTATGCACCAGGTCCTGAGTTCTGTCCCAAGCCCTGGACCAAAAAGAAAAGGTAGCAGGCCACTCATAAGCATGAATATGGGAGCGACCTGGACTAATATGGGCAAAAGAGATTGTCCCCAATCATGCCCATGGAGCTTCTGGAAAACAAGAAAGTGCTTTATTTTACTTTTTCTTTTTAAAAATGTTACTACAGATGGGACCTGGAGCTACACACTTATTAGGTCAGGGCTCTGCTACCGAGCCACAGACAATGGTTCTAGGTTTCATTTTAAGAACTATATATTCTGGGTACTGCTGGCTCACACCTGTAATTCTAGCAACTCAGGAGGGTGAGATCTGGGGACTGTGGTTCCAAGTCAGCTGGGATAGAAAAGTAGGCGAGACTCTAATTAATCAGCAAAAAGCCAAACATTGTGCTCAAATGGTAGAATTCTAGCCTTGAATGGAACAGCACCCAGGCCCTGAGTTCAACTCCCAGTACCAGTGCTTGCATTCGCATGCACACCCTAACCCTGTTTCTTTGTTTCCTTTCTTTTATTTTCATGATATAGGCATGGAACCCACAGCCTTGGATTTGTTGGGTAAGCTCTTACTGAGCCATATTCCCAGGTCTCTGTTTCATTGTAAGAACTCTTTAAGGAGTCTTGGAGGCCACCGGATCTCAAAGCATTCTTTCAGCTTCAATTTCCTTCAAGTACTATCTCCTGGAGCCACAAGATATTTGGAGCTTAAATATGACTATTAGTTATAGTAATAAGAGTAATCACCTGTCCTTGGCTAGGATAACAGTGAGCCACTCATTGTATAGGTATATAATATAAATGAGATGACTCTCATGGGCCTCCTCAGCAGAGTTACAGACAAGCTTTTTTTCTGAGATTCCAACTAGGTGGACCTTAACAAAAAAAGACAACCAAGACTGAGTCTGAGGGCAGGGAAGGGACAATTTAATTCCTTTACAGAAAAAAAAATGGATTTTTTTCTTTTTTTAGTTTGAGAGAAGGCCCAGAAAAATGGCAAACAATGTGCCTCGGTTCTCAAGTTATAGAAACTGCCAAATAAGTAGTTGATTTACAAGAAATATGGGGAAGACATAAGATTTCCAGAAAAGTCTGTAAATAGTGGCTCAAGTCATCTATGCATATTGTATGCAGATGTGAAAATATAAAGTTTTCAAGGACAATGCAGTCAAATATGAAAAATATTGCTGGTAGCTCATGCCTGTAATCTGAGCTACTCAGGAGGCTGAGATCTAAGGATCACAGTTCAAAACTAGCTACTACAGGAAAGGCTGTGAGACTCTTATCTCTAATTACTCACTGTAAAGCAGGAGCTAAAGGTGTGGCTCAAGCAGTACAGCATCAGCTAAGGGACAGTGCCCAGACCCTGAGTTCAAGCCCCACTACTGGTACCTCCCCCCCCAAACATTACAATTCCTTTTGCCAACAGTCTATTCTAAATGACCCGTGGTAGTCCTGGTGGGGAGACTAAATCACTATATCCTGGTGGGGGAGCTTTGGGCTTACACATGGGGGGCGTCCCCAAACAGCAGTTGGGTGCCAAGAGGGAAAGAGTGCAGGTGACCTCGCAGCATGGACTCACAGTAACAGTGGCCAGGAGGCCTTCCGGCACATTGGCCACAATGATGCCAATGAGGAAGATGATGGAGTCCAGGACATAGTACTTCATGGACACTGCGATGATGAAGAAAATAATGCCGATGGAGACAGCCACTCCGGCCACAATATGAACAAAGTGCTCGATCTCAATGGCAATGGGCGTCTTCTCATTCCCAACACCTGACGCCAAGGAGGCTATGCGACCAATGATGGTGCGGTCCCCCGTGTTGATGACCATGCCCGTGGCTGTGCCTACAGGGGAAGTAGACAATTTACTACAGGGGTCCTGGTCACAGTACTCTCTGATGGTTTACTGGAGGGGTTAGGTTATGGCAAAGGCCAGTGTTAGTCCCCAAGGCCCCTCAAGTCTGTGTGTGCTCTGGGAAAAGCTCTGGAACAAGGGAGGTGGTGGGGGGGGGACAAAAACCATCAGATCCAAGAGGGAGCAAAACACAGGTGGGGCTCTGTGTCCCTGAGAGCCAGTTGGCTGTACCTTCCAAACAGGTTGTGGAATAGAAGGCGATGTTCTTTGTTTCCAGAGGGTTTTCATGAGTGAATTCAGTTGAACGAGACTGGGGCTCAGATTCTCCAGTCAGAGAAGAATTGTCTACCTGGAAGAAAATTTGAAAGCAAAAACAATTCAAGATTAAGCACCTCATTCTCTGCCTCCTCTACCAAGATCAGGAAACAACAGAGTGCCTGCTGGCTCCGGCAGGATCCTCAGGACTCACCTTACACCCCTGGGAAGCCAGCAGCCTGATGTCTGCAGGGATCTGGTCTCCTCCTTTAATCTCCACGATGTCTCCCACCACCAGTTGCTCTGCAGGGATTATCTTCTTTTCTGAATCACGGATGACGAGAGCTTGCTGGAGAAGAAAGGACAGGTCAGTTAGGTCCTGTGAAAACATCTCCCCAACCCCACCCCAGCTCACATCTTCCTGCAGCCTAGGATAGGAGGTCTGGAATCCACTATTATCAGAATGGGATCACCCCAGTGAAACTGAACAGTGTTTCTTAGGGCCTAAAGACTGGAAGAACTAATTTTCTTCTTTAGTTTTGCACTTGAAGCAAGAAAAGGATGCTGTTGGACTGATTTGGTCAAGGGAAAACACTGGGCCTCCCAGAAAGGGAGACAATTTTAGAGTGAACCCCTCTAACTGGATGTCAAGGAAGAATGCTGACATTGGCCAAGGGGTTAACAATCTTTTTGAGATGGGGTTTTCTATACTTCAGTATGCAGGGAGGAGTCACATCTACTAGAATCTTCTTCTCTGGCTGGAAACTTTTCTAGGCCAGGGCTAGGGTGATTTCTTTGCTGTAGACTCTTAAAAGAGGTCCCTGCATGGAAAGTGGGAACCCCTCAAAGATCATTTTGGTACAACATGTTCTGGAAGCAAAAGCAATCACAGATAACAAAAAGTAATCACAGATGACAAGAAAGTATGTATGAATCTTCTTGGTTTCCAGTGAAGGAATATTCTGGAATCACTTGAATGACCATCTAAATGGTCCAGAAGGTGTGTATAATACCTAATATATTTCTCTATTTTTCTTACTTTTGAGAAAGCATTTTCCTTCATCTCAAAACCCTGCGAAGAACTGAGAGTTAGAGCCCATGATGTCCCAGATAGAAGAATGGGATTAGGACTGTCGCCTCACTGGGAAATCATCCAGAGACTAGAGGAAAGATGGCTGGTACTTACCTGGGGAATCATCTTACTAAAGCTGGCCATGATGTTGGTGCTTTTGGCTTCTTGGTAATAAGCAAAGACCCCCGTCAAAATAACAACCAGAACAAGTATGGCGCCCAAGTATACCTGGGTAAGGAGGAGAGGCAGTCAGAAAAATAGGTCCAAAATTTTAAATGTTCCCTAATTCTGAAACTCTTTTGAGTACCAATGTAACACCAGAGTGGAAAATTCTACACCTGACCACATACGATGGATCATAGTCAAAATACAGGCACACCAAAAATATTATAAAAAGTTACTCTGAAGTTATGTGAATAAGGTATGTAATAAGCAGATTTTGTTTACCTTTGGGTGTCATGCCCAAGATATTTCATTATGCATAATGTAAAGAATCCAACACCTGCCCAAAAAATCTGAAATCTGGAGAACTTCTGGTCCACCATGTCCCCTGGCAATATTCTCTGCTCCTGTCTCCAGTCTTGCTGTACTGCGATGAGCCTGTCTAGACATCTCATTAGCCTTTGCCATTAGGCTTCTTTCTCTTAGCACAGTGTTTGCCAATTCAGTTTGTGGGTCTGACACATATTTCTCCACAGGCAGAGCTACCGTCCATGACAAAGAGAGATTAGCTCTGAGGAGAATGCCTCAAGATACTTCCTGGGGATATAGATCCCACTCCTCCAGGGACTCAAGACATTTTGTCTCTATTTTAAAATTCATAGTTATATTGTCTCTGGCACATTGGATTTTTTTTTGTGCCAGTACTGGGTCTTCAACTCAGGGACTGTGAACTGTCTCTTAGATCTTTGGCTCAAGGCTGGAGCTTTACCACTTGAGCCACAGCTCCACTTCTGGCTTTGGGGTGGTTAATTAGAGATACAAACCTCCCAGACTTTCCTGCCTGGGCTATCTCTGAACCATGATCCTCAGAACTCAGGCTCTTGATTATCTAGGATTACAAGTATGAACCACCTGCGCTTGGCTTCTGCCACGCTGGAAAGTCAAATAGCATCTATTTTACAATTGGAAGAAATTTCTCAACTATTACAGTCCAACCCTGTGGCCATGGATGGCTTTGCTTTATGCTTCCATTTCTCTTTATTACTGAACACAGCCAGGAAGGTGGCTTACATTGTCTAGGGATGCAGCATTATTGAGAGACTGAATCCCATATGCAATCCAGCACAAGATGGCACCTATCCATAGAAGGATGGAAAAGCCCCCCACCATCTGTTTGAGGAACTTGATGATCTCTGGAGTTTGCTTAGGAGGACTGAGAGTATTAGGACCATCTCGAGCCAGGAGTTCTGCAGCTCTGACACTAGAGAGGCCCTGAAAGAAACACAGGCACAATGAGAGTTAGATAGCATTCCTTTCTCAGAAGTTGGGCTTCATGTTTCTGCAGGTTATTGTTAGGTGCTGATACATGCAAGATAGCTCTGGGAAAAGTGAAAGAAGGTTGCCTCATCCTTCCAACTTCTTACATTTTTAGAAAGGATTATTTTTATTAATAGGTATCGTGTGATGTTTTGATGCATACACATTCTCTGACATTTAAATCAAGTTACTATATACCTATCTTCTTAAGTATTTATCACTTCTTTCTTTTCTCTTTTTTGCTGTTCCTGGGGCTTGAACTCAGGGCCTAGACACTGTCCCTGTCCCTGAGGCTAGTGCTCTACTAATTGAACCACAGCTCCATTGCTGGCTTTTTGGTGGTTAGAGATACGAGTCTCACAGACTTTCCTGCCTGGGCTGGTTTTGAACCTTGATACTCAATTCTCAGTTTCCTGAGTAGCTAGGACTACAGGTGTGAACCACCAGCGCCTGCCTGCCCTCCTTCCCTCCCTCCTCCCATCCCTCACCACTCTGCTAATACTGGAGCTTGAACTCTAGCTTCTCACTCTTACTTTTTGACCAATTCTAGTGCTCTACCACACTTCCATTTCCAACTTTTCACTGGTTAATTGGAGATAAGAGTCCCTGGGATTTGACTGCCTAGACTGGCTTGGAACTGCAATACTTAGATGTCAGCCTTCTAAATAACTAGAATTACAGGTATGAACCAACACCGGTGCTTGGCTATAATTTATCATTTCTTTATGACAAAACTTTCCCTCTAGCTTTTTGAGATACAGAGTACAGTTATCTATAGCCATCCAACTATACACTAGCACACCTGAATAGTGTCCACTGATCAACTTCTCCCCCCATCCTGCCCTCCCACCTTTTATGAAAGAATACTTAAAGTTTAATATCAGCCAAGCAGTGCTCTCCATACACCAACTCTCCAGAACAACCGTCTGAGGAAGAAACCTTCATTATCTTCATTCCCAAACATGGGATTTGAGGCACTCATCATTGAGGTACTCCCCAACATCACTTGACTGATATATGGTGGCCCTAGAACTTAGCTGGCTGACTGACCCCAAAGCTACTGTACCACACTCTGCGTAGAATTTCCTGTCCTAGAGATTTATTTGGAGATGGGAGTCATTTGGCTAAGGAGGATTTGAAATAAAGAATCTAGTCACCAGTGTTAAGGACAATGTAGTAACTATCTAGAAAATATTATTTATTCTGAAACTCTGTGTATCTCCTGGGCTAGCTTTTCATTGTTAGTCTGCTACTTTCCTGCTATTCTATATATCCGCCCTAAGTTGTAAGTTCTTATTCATCATAAGTTATACAGCTGAGTTCTGAGACTCATATGAGCAGTCCTTTCCCTGATAAGTGTGACATTCATGAAGGCATAAAAGTACCACCATTCTGATACCCTGCATGTTTATGGGTTTTCCCACACAGACACTTAACGTATTTTCTTTTTTTAAATCTTTTTCTTGTTTTTGTTCTGTTCTGCTTCTTGAGATGGTCTCACTATGTAACTCTTGCTGGCCTAAAATCCCCAATCCTCCTTACTCTGGGATTATAGGCATATACTACTATTCCTGGTTTAAACTATTTCTTATAAAGAATATAAAACCCTTTCTTCCTAATTTTAAGCTACTTAAGTACTCCGACTACTTGCTCTAGGATCTAATTTTTTCTGCAGTAGTGATGAATATGTGTTGTGTAACTGGATTCTGACTCACCAACTTAGTCCCATTGCTGTCCATTTACCATTCCTATTCCAGAACCCCAAACTTTTCTTTTTCAATAACTGTTGCATATTTCCACAAGGTTATTTCAGAGACATTACTAATAGCACAGTTGGCTTTCCACATCCACACCTTCCACTGACCTTGGATGGAAAATGTCGTTAAGCCTAAAATGATTGTATCTGTGCTAAACCCGTTCAAATTCAATTACCACTAAACAATCCAGCACTATTTACACAGCACATGCAATTATTTAGACATTATAAGGCACCTAATACAGGCCTCCTCAATTTCTGATAGTAAAGGTCCTATATACCACTACACTTCTTGGAAACAGGCATTACAAAGGAACCTCTGGCCAGTGGCTAGTGGCTCAGACCCATAATCCTGGCTATGAGGCTGAGATCTGAGAACCATAGTTTGAAGTTCACCTGGGTAGGAATGTCTATAAGACGCTTATCTCCAATCAGCAAAATAAGGCTAGATATGGAGTGACCAACAGCTTTGAGCAAAAAGTGAGAGTCCCATGTTCAAGCTGCAGTACTGGCACACATACACACATAGAGGCAGCCCATAGTTTTCAGGGGATTTCACAGCTCCTCTATACTCACAGGCAAAGGACTATCTATCCCAAACATCCAGCCCAGTGAAGAAGCCTGGCCAGGGCCTCAGTGTAGGTATACCAGCAGGCGGGTCCACTCACCCATCTCAGGATCTAGGCTGGCAGATGATGGCAGTCTCATAGGTGTGGCCTAGGTTACCCCTCGTAACAGTGCCTTGATTCCCCCACATACAGCTTTCTCTCTGCATGACCCTGATGACTTACCCTGATGATGTCGGTGCCAAATTTCTGTTCCAATTCCTTACTGCTCAGTTTGTGGTCATCCTGAAGTCCATAGAAGGAAAGAGAAAAGAATGAATGGGGGTCATTCCAAAGACTCAGCTCCAACCTTTGACCAGGAGGTGGAAATGGCACTAAGGATTAGAGGTGACCAGGAAGGATGGAGGAAGGGGAGAGGAAGGACCGCTGGTGGCTAGGGTTCTTGCACTGAGGGAAGGTCCAGGTACAACAGAACTTGTTCTAAGACACAGTCCTTGCTGAGAGTTCATACTGCACTAGACCATCAACACTTCTTAGCTTTGTTTTGTTTTGGTTTTTTTCATTTATGTTTAATGCTAGTCCTGAGGCTTGAACTGAAGGCCTGGGTGCTGTCCCTGAGCTTTTTTGTTCTAAGCTAGTGCTCTACAACTTGAGGCACAGCCCCATTTCAAACCTTTTTTAGGTGGTTAATTGGAGATAAGAATCACAGACTTTTCTGCTTGAGTTGGCTTTGAACCACTCCACAGATCTCAGCCTCTTAACTAGCTAGGATTACAGGCATGAGCCACCTGGATTGCCTTTAGTTTTTTAGTTTTTTTTTTTTTTTGGGTCCGGTCGTGGGGCCTGAACTCTGGGCCTGGGCGCTGTCCCTCAGCTCTTCAGCTCAAGGCTAGTGCTCTACCACTTGAGCCACAGCGCCACTTCTGGCTTTTTTCTTTTTGCTTATGTGGTGCTGAGGAATCGAACCCAGGGCCTTGAGCATGCAAGGCAAGCGCTCTACCACTGAGCCACCTTCCCAGCCCTGCCTTTAGTTTTTATAAACAAGGCAGTGCCCACCATGTCAATCTAAAACAATTGGACTCCCTGACATACTCATCTGCTGAGTACTGGCTGGCTACATGCTTCATTCAGACTTGGATTTTGAGACGATGTGCAAACTGCAAGTTAAGCACAATGTCTGGGGTGCCCTCTGCTGACCATCACTTGACTGGCACAGGGCAGTCCAGGAATGCTCAGGTCAAATAATACGAAGGAAGAGATTCTTTAGTTATCAAGACTAATTGGTTAGAGAGGTCAGGATGCAAAATCATTCAAAAATACAATATAAAATTATAGGACTCCTGTGAGAAGCTTGTGTAAGAGAAAGAAATGTATAATCCTTTCCCAGCAGGGAAATAGTCCAACGCTATGGAAATGATTTTTCTTTACGATATTTTACATATGGTCAGAAAGTATTCTTATCTTGATCAAATGACTTTGAAAGAGCGGATATATACATTCATGTAAGTAGAAATTTCAAGGAAGGATAAATATGTTTTTTAAATGCTAGATATACATAGGAATGATTATTACTCTGCCCTATCTCACTTAACCCTGGTAACAACCCTAAGAAATAGAAAACTTATTTTTAAAATACAAAGTTTTACTATATATTCCAGGATAGCCTCAACTTTGCTATGTAATATAGGTTGGCCTTGAACTTAAAATCCCCTTTCCTTAGACTTGGAATCACAAGCATGCCAAAAATAGGAGGGTAGAGCTGGTGGCTCATGCCTGTAATTTTAGCTACTCAGGAGGCTGAGATCTGAGGATTGTGGTTTGGTAGCCACCCCAAGACCCCAGAACTGGAGAAGTGGCTCCAGGGGTAGAGCCTTGAGGGAAAAAGCTAAGGGACAGTGCCCTGAGTCAAGTCCTAGTACCTGAACACACACACACACACACACAGAAAACAGGATTTAAATTCAGCCCAACTTCAGAGCTGTGTTCTTTGTTCTTAAATGTATCTCAGGATATATATGCATGAATGCCCAGCAGAGTGCTGCTAAATGATTAACAAGCTTTCCAGGAAAGATAAACTGCTCTAATATGTAGCATTTGCTGATTTCTCACCAAGAACTCAGCTTGCCAAGTTCCTGGATATTAAACCATCAGCTACCTAGCACCAATGAGCTGTCTGAAGGAACTCAGTAGCTGTCCAAAAATCAGAGAGCTTTAACATCTCCAAGTGACTGCAAAGATAACCTAGCAGACTCTCAAGCTCTCTGTAGAGTTTCCTTTGGTATTTCTAATATTGAACCTGCCACAGTTCAAATCCAGGGTAGCTCATTATTAAGGCAGCCAATTACAAAGTTTTTCAAAAGTAATAGTAATAATAATAATATTATGTACTTCTATAAAAAATTTTAGGCTGGGAGCTGGTGGCTCAAGCCTGTAATCCTAGCAACTCAGGAGGCTGAGGTTTGAGAATCATGGTTCAAAGCCAGCCCAGGCAGGAACATCTGTGAGACTCTTATCTCCAATTAACCACCAGAAAACCAGAAGTGGCGCTGTGGCTCAATTGGTAGAGTGCTCGTCTTGAGCTGAAGAGCTGAGGGACAGTGCCCAGGCCCAGAGTTCAAGCCCCATGACTGACCAAAAAAAAAAAAGAGTTTTAGGAAATAGCATTATGGTTCAAGTGGTAGAGTGCCAGCCTTGAGTGAAAAAAGCCAAGCAAGAGCACAAGGCCCTGAGTTCAAGCTCTAGTCTGGAGGGGAGGGGGAGAGAAAAGAGAGAGAGAGAGAGAGCGCTTGTCATCTAGCCAATGTGTACCCTTTGAGATGAGTGGGTACCAGTCGCTCACGTCTGTAATCCTAGCTACTCAATATTGAGGTTCAAAGCTAGCCTGCAAAGACAACTACAAAAGATTCTTGCCTCCAATTAACTAGCAAAAGCTGGAAGTGCAGAAGCTCAAGTAGAAGAGTGAGATTCTTGATCAGAAAAAGCTAGGCAAGAGTGAGATGCCTCAATGTTCAAATCCCAGTACACACCCCCCCACACACACATTACAAACACTAACTTCTCCCCCCACAAACCTTGCGATTCATTATTTACCATCTCACAAAGAGAATGGAGCTTTATTGTAGCTAGATCATTTGCTCTCACAGTTCAGTCTGTGGAAAAGTGAGGTTCAGATTAAGCTTAAGATTGTGAAATCCAAGTCCAACATTCCCACATGTGGAATACTTTTTCTTATGAACACACATACTCAAAATCTAGCAAGGTCTGGTAACTCAGGTGTTTCTTCTTGGAGATTCTAGCTCAAACAGTTTTACTTAACTAACAACTAGTAAAGAGTGTATTATTTACAATTCATTGAAGCAGGAAAAAGGAGAGGGGTGTAGATCTAAGCCTGGGAGCTCAGAATGAGAGTTTTTCCCTTTCCTGCTCTACTTGTGTCTGCCTTCAACCAGAACACAGGAGTCCTCCAAAGGAGCCTGAAGCAGAGACACACAGTATCACACTTTTTCTAAAACAAGGAAGCAAATGCTAAAGTGATTCCAAATCCTGGAGACTGATTTTTCTCTATAGGAGGAAGGTCATGGAATAAGTTCTCAGGGGAGGCCCCCAGGACCCCTTTTGCCTTAAGGCAACTGACCAGATCAAGTTCTTTCTTAAGTTCCTCTTTCTGTTGACCCTTTTTGAGTTCCAAGTCGTTGGTCTTCCCACCCTTGTGCTTCTCCTTGGCATGGAACTGGTCCGGCTGTTCCAGGTCTTTATAGCCATGAAGCTCCACGGAGTAAATTTCTGTTTTCTGAAAGAGAACCAGAGGTGCAATATTGGCTTCCAGATGGGTTTCTGAAGGCTCCCCTGGGGGTGGGGACCTGCTTGGGGAAGGAGCCTGCCTGTGCCTTCATTCATCCCCTCCACCTGGACAGGGGGAGCAGCACTGGGGGAAGTTGAGTTCTCTCCAGAGGAGATGTAGGGCTGGCTGGCACAGGCCTGCAGCCCTGAGGGGTTCCCCTGTGGGAATGGAATAGGTGGGAACGGCTTTTCTTGGGACTTTGTTCCTATAGGTCACGTCCATGGTGTCACTTGCTTCTTAAGGAAGGGGCGCACCCCCGAAGGCACCCCAAAAGGGCAGGCTTGCCTGGAAAGTTTACAGACTACCACATCCACAGACCCCTAGCCTAGCCCCATCCCCGAATGAGAACTGGCCAGACGGGCTCTGTGGGGTTGGGTTGGCACCCTGGCCCCGCACGTCGGGACTGGCGGTCTTCCCTGGAGCACCAGGCGGATGCTTGCAGAGCAGATCGCCCACCCCTGCTGCCAAGAAGGGCCGTCCGTGCATCTTCCCCGCGCGTCCCGCCAGCGAGCTCAGGTTCCCCCAGCAGGCGCGGTGAGGGCACGCACCCGGCCCATTGCGGTGGCTGGCGGCGGGACGCGCGGGATGCGGGACGCGG